GGGTGTAGCTCATAGTTCGCGGTCGGGCTTGCAGGACAAAGCGTGAGGAAGAGGAGGAGGAAGGCTCAACAGCTCTTAGTTTTTGTTCACAGAGGCTGACGGTTACTGCAGGTGTTCTCACATCAAACACATCTGGACACATCTGTTCTCAGCCTGCTGTCTGAGCAGCCCGACGTAGACTTATACTGGTTTGTGCTGCCATTTAACTGGGACCATTTTCTCTGTTTTCCTGGAGAGCTGGAATGTGATTGGTCAGGGTGTGGAAGCTGAAGAAGAGGGAGGAGGTGTTTTCTCAGAGTTCGGTCATAAAGAGGTGGTGGGAGTGGAGGTGGGGTGTGTTTGCGTGCCACCACACGGGCGGAGCTGCAGCTCACTGAGCGCTTACAGAGCAGCAGAGCGTCACCGCGGCGTCCACCTCAGCGATGGTTGAAGTAATGGTCGTAGTTTGAGTGACGCAGCTGGAGCTGCTGAGGAACTTGGCCCTGTTGAAAGCGTCAGGTTGGAGGACTTCCTGTGATCTCTGAGCGCCCTTCCTCTTCATAAATCTCCACAGTCGTTAAACGGGCGACCCCGTCACCGACAGTGGGCGTGTTCCACGCCGGGCCATCAAAGCACAGATACACGAAGACGTGCTGAGGTGTCCACGGAGGCCTGACAGAAACAAGCTGGCAGCTGCAGCGACTGCATACGTCAGGGCCAACAGCTGGACGGCCTCAGCACTCCCAGACACCATTAACGGCCAGTCCGTCACACTGGGAATGTTCGGCACGCCGAGGAGACTGTCAGTGTGATGGACATCGCACGGTCAGAAACAGGAAGCTGCTCTGTGTCACTGCTTCAGCAGGGATTTACAAACGTTGTGTTTCTGTTCCAGGCAGAAAAAACGCCGACAGCGTTCATTCGAACCCAAACTAACGGCTAAACCTTAAACTGCTGAACCACAGCCATCAACGTGAAGCGGAGTTTGTCATTGGCCAGAGCCGACTGACCCTCGATCACCAGCTGCAAACGAAAACACGAGGTCAACGAATCACCATCCGCTCGGCTGCGGCGCTTAAACCAGCATCAGCCTCCAAACATGAAGCGTGATTCGTTACTGATTCCTCATCAGTGTGTCACAAACGGAGGAGGAAGAGGAGGGACTGAGATCAGCTGTGATGACCTGTCAGCACCGTGATTGGCAGCCGACATCTTCTCTCACTCTGGATGTTGACCTCTGACCTCTACGTTCATGTTGTGGTCTGGAGCTCATTTCCGTGAACCTCTCTGTACTCGGTCTCTGTTATCGCTCGTCCTCCTCCTCTTCTTCCTCCTCCTGTAATTAAGGAATGTGACCCAGCCGTCTGTTCTGATAACGGCTGGATGGAGCGCATGAAAGAGGAGCGCATCAGGAACGTGGAGAAAGTCGAGGTCACAGGATGGGAAGCCTCCCTTCCTTCTGCTCCGTCCTCCCTTCGTGCTCAGCTGACGTCTCCTCTGAGGGAGGGAGGGTCTTATCTCCCAGGCAGATATTTGAAATCTGTCACAAGCTGGAAAAATGTTTCCTTTTTCCAGAAAACACGGCGTGGAGAATGCGTGCAGCGCTGTTATGAATCCTCACGTCTTCTGCAGTCAAATCCAGAAAAAGTGCAACTGTGAGATTGTTAGCATAGACTGTAAATAAAGATGTACATAACCACAGTGGCATTGGGTGTGGAGGATTTGGGCGCCGAGTGCTGAAGATAAGTTTTCCCGTTATGGTTGTAGATGCATTTTTTCTTGGGGGAAATCAGTGTTTCCACCACGGCGTCGTTCCTGGAAGGCAGCGCGTCTCCAGGTGCCCTCATCTCTCGCCCCGACACGTTTTTGTGTCGGAGCTTTCAGCGCCGTGCCTACCAGCTGAGGACAGAGCCGTGAACTT